GGAGCAGGAAGAGCATTGCCAGCAGGTTGAGGGAGGTGATCCTGCCCCTCTACTCAGTCCTAGTGAGGCCACACCTGGAGTTGTGTCCAGTTCTGGACTCCTTAGTACAAGAGAGACTTGAACTCCTGGAACAAGTCCAGTGGAAGGCAATGAAGATGCCAAGGGAATGGAGCATGGCTCTCTAATAAGGACAGGCTGAGGGAGCTGGGCCTGTTCAGCCATGAGAAGATACAACTGAGAGGGGACCTTGTCAATGTACACAAGTGTCTGAAGGAAGGGTGTTAAGAAGAAGTATCCAGGCTCCTCTTGGTGATGCCAAGGAACATGGAAAGGGGCAATGGGCAGAAAAGGATGTGCAGGAAGTTTCACCTGAATATGAGAAAGAACTTTTCTACCATGAAGGGGACTGAGCACTGTGACAGATTCCCCAGAGAAATTGTGGAGTCTCTCTCACTGAAGATATTCAAGAACTGTCTGGAATACACAGCCCTGTGCCATGTACTCTGGGATGACCCTGCTTGAGCAGGAAGGTTGAACCAGATGACCTGCTGTGGCCCCTTCCATCCTTATCCATTCTGTGATACTGTAAACAAATAGCAGCAGACATCACCTAAGTATCAGAAGGAACATTAAGAAATACCACAGTTATTTTCACTGGATTTGACAAGAATCCATCAATTTAATACAACTATATACCCATGGAAGAAACTACGCTAGACTCACAACACTGTCAAGGCAAAGAACAGTATTGTAGACAGGAAAGGAAAATAATAAAACACCAACTCACGGCAAATTGCGTAATATTTTCTGAGTTAAGAGAAAAACACTGATAAATTTGTCTGCAGCCACTGTTACTGTGGGATGAGAATGGAAAGAATTGCTTTCAATTGCCAGTTTAAACAACAGTTTAATAGGATAAATTGACAAATGACAAATTACACTGTTTCTTTACTTGGCTGTTCGTATTACTGAAAAGCAAGAAAGCATCACTACACTTAGCTTTTCCTATTCCTATTGTGTAAGAACTTGTTACTCCAAATCCTGTATAATTTTACAGCCTAATATAGCCAAAATTGTATCAATCTGTTGTAACAAATTTATGACCAGGAAAATATCCTGTTCCTTTTGAATTAACACTGAATTGTGAATGAGAGCAAGCAAACTACTCAAGATAGAAGCAGCTTGTACAAACATTCATAAATCAGACAACATAAGTATCAGTATTCTGCTGCTTCCATATGTGCACCACAATAAAGCATTATTTGCAACTCTTCTGGAGAGTATTTACTATTTTATCATTGAGCTCAAAAATTTAAGAAGTCAACAAGCTGCCTCAATACCAAATTAACACCACTTTCTACATGTGACTTTTTGAAGTTTTGGCTTTGTAATTAAAAAAATAAGTCCTACTGTTATCACTGTAAAAGATCAATTAGTACTGTCCAAAACCTCCATAAAATTGAGTGAAATTAACTGAAACTACTTTGCCAGGCAGTAATTACCTATATGGTACAAATGTAAAAATTGAATTTATACATATACAATTAAAAAGGTGTCCCAGCAATTAGCAAATCTGAAGTGCCACTGACTTCAATATGACACAATAGGATTTTAGCAAACCTAGCTTCAAACCAGAACCCTAAGATCAATTTGCCAAAAAAGTAAATTTAAATAAAAAAAAATTAAAGTATGCACTTCAATTTTGTTCTTGCAGGTGAATCCAAATAAGATAACTCTAAACCCATGCAAAAGCCTCCGTGAATCTGCCTGGCTCATGTACGTAGCTGGGGGCCTCAACACACACGCCTTGCTGTGCATGCTGAACCTTAAGCCTGGATTGTCCCTCACAATGCAGATGAATGGTCCCATCGAGCTCACTGGCACTGGTCTCATTTAGGAAGTGAAACACACAAACATTTTGCAGTATTTTGGTCCTAGTAAACACATAAAAAACCAAAGCAATAACATTTTTCACTTCAAGGCATTTCAGAACATTTCCCTCCAATGCCCTATGCAATTTTTTACTGGAAGATCAAGCACATGTAGCATGAAATGTGGATTAAGTCTAAGTAGAGGGCAGATATGTACTGCAACAGAAACAATTCTGCAGCTTTAACTGTATGCGGTAAGATTAAAATAGTCACAACTCTACACTGATCAGGCAGACAACTGCAACTCAACCCCTTTAAAAAACTATAATAAAGAAATCGCTGAAAACAAGTGACATCCACAATGTGCAACACACAAACGGACTGCTGCATCTCACAACAAGCCAGACGAAGCCAACAGGTGCGGGTTAGGTCGCCCACATGCTGTACTTTGGAATACATTCTCCAGAGACCAACACACGCTCAAGAAAATTAAAGTCAGACACGATTTACACTTTTCCCTGAACAATTTTTCTCAAGATATGACAATTTGTTACACCCCTACCACCAACTGACATATCAGCCTCTATGAAGCTTCCCCTGAGCTGTGCCATTACCACACTTTCACGGATTGCGTCCAAATCCTTTCAGTATTTACTAACCGCCCTTACTCGGGGACCTTTGCAACACCCCGTATCTGCCAGCGGCCCATCGCCACCGCTGCCCTGGCGACTCCCCGCTGCCAGCCGGGCCGGCTTACCTGGGGAGTCATGGTGGAGGGGTCCGGCTGCTCCGTGCCACCGCCCTCCTTGGCGGCACCTTGCGCGGCCTCCGGCTGGGCAGCGGCGGCCGGGGGCAAGGACGGCTGGGGCGGGGGGAAATGAGCCTGCGAGGGCTTGACCGGGGGAGGGATGGAGGGTGCCAGGCCGGGCTGCGCGGGCTGGGAAGGAGAAGCCTGGGAGGAGAGCAGGTAGGGCTGGGGGTGTGCCATGTATCCCTGGGCAGGAGGCGGCAGGTAGGGCTGGGAGGCGGTGGCCGGCGGGGGCTCCAGGTAGGAGGGCGGGGGCTCGGAAAAGGAGGGGGGCGGCTGGGAGGGCTGCGCCCGGGGCAGGTAGGGCTGGAGCGGCGGGGACTGGGCTGGGGGCGGCTGGGCAGGGGGCAGGTAAGGCTCGGCCTGGGGCGGCGGTAGGTATGGCTGGGCGGGGGGCAGGTAGGGCTGAGCGGCGGGCTGCGGGGACTGCGGCGGCGAGGACAGCTCCATGTCCATGGGCACCGGCTCGGCGGGCACCGGCTCGCCCCAG